TCCAGCAGCAACCCCATTTACGCTCGCATTACATGACCCCCCCCCCCTGATGAAAAATCCAGCTGTCCCGGCTGCAATAGGATAAAATAATGCGAGCTGACGGCATCACAATCAGGAATCACCCCAGACACAACGGAGAGTACAACAACAAACACAATTAACTAAGGGAAGGGATCAGGATCCGGTACAGAACACCGGCCCGTCCTCCGTGCAACAAGCCAGAAGAATTAAGGAATGGAAAGCAATGCACAACAACGGTAACCGACACGCAAGAACGGCCGACGTGCATAAACCAGGAATGCAGTGTCTTAGAGCGTGTTCGTGTTGCTGGTCCATCCGCCTCAAGTCCAACTTCAGAGAGCAACTGGTAGAGCAGGAGTGACGAACAGGCGCTCCACTTCCCCTTCAAGTCCACATCCGGTTAGCACAACCGGTGACACCTAGTGTGGCAGGCGACGAAGATCTGTGACGAAAAGGAGAACCCAACCCCCTGAGGCACAGCACAACGGAACGCACATCCGCATGTCGTACACGACAGCCACCCGGCCCCAGGGTAGTGGAGATGATCTAAATCCTCCCCGCGTAAGGAGAACCGCAATAAATACCCAAAAATCGACAAGACGGATGCATCAGTATTTATATTTTCACTAAAAAATTATTATTTACATGTGACAACAAAAATTTTCCTGCTCTTGCCCATCAGCAGTCCTCCCTTGAGGACCACCACAGACATTTCACGTACACAGTATCTACCCACTGTCACTCTCAACACAGCCCCCAGCTGCACACCCTCGCGTGGAAAGAGCCACGCTCCCCAGCGGCAACATTTAACTTGCCTTCGCCCTCACCGTGGTCGGCCAACCACAGCAACGTCCACTGGCCATATTCCAATCGCTTGAACCCCCACAATATCCATATCCCCGAATAGGATCTGCAGGACTAGTTCCCCTACACATTCAATAACGTCATAACCCAGAGTGGAACAAGTCCGCGGCCCTTCCCGCTGGAGGACCCGCAAGGGAAATCCCCGCCCCATGCTAGCCAGGTCTCCCCGTTCGCTGCAACGTAACGGAACCTCTACTCCTGAATTCCGTGAGCCCCCCGGCCCACCAGGTTCACAGTCTGCCACCGCACGACGGAACCCCGACTGCCCGAGCCATATGAGCACACGGCCCATTAGTTTGAGACATACCACGGAGTGTCTCACATCCGGGCTGTCAGGTCAGCCATCGGCCGTAGGCCGATGTGACCACAACTCGTGCATCACCCACTCAACAATGGCAGGCGTATACTGGTGAAATATTTGCCCCAGAATAGAACCCAGCCAGCATCTCTGTCCCAAAATGCTGGTGCAATCACACGCCCCCCCTTAGTCAAACACGGGCCACTATGCTCCTGTTACCCCGATGGGCGCCAACACGCCAGTATTGCGCACAACACGCAATGCACGCACACAAGTTAGAGCACAACACGAGAGTCAAGGGATGATCCATAACCGCATCCCCGCGGCTCGACGTGCATACTTAAAATGGCGGCGGCACACACGAAGCACCCCACCGAGGTTTTCCCCCGCGCGCTCAAAATGGCGGCCCCCTGCGCCAAGCGCATCCCCGCGATTTCCTGCGCACGCTCAAAATGGCGGCCCCATGCGCCGAGTGCATCCCCGTGATTTCCCGCGCTAGCCAAAATCGCGGCCCAACGTGCGACCACTTCGGCAGTTTTTCCCGTGCGTGCACCCTAGCTGCCCCTCGCTGGGGGTCACAACATACATCCCCTGTCACGTTTTAACAACCCCCAATGATACGACGCATAGCCGCAGCTCGCTGCGCACAGCAGTCGTATCGGGGGAATTTTTAACCCATAGTTGACCAAGACACATTGCTCATACACACCAACTCGCAATGCAACCCCTGGCCGCATGCAATCAACGGAAAGAGCGACGCCGCTTGGCGGCAATTTATGGCCCCATCACCCTTGACAGCAGAGCCACCAACAACGCCCTCAACCCTCAACACTCGCAATTTCCTATGAACACACATGCAAACTCGTGTGCACGAACACCCATACAACCAAAATTTAGGGTCCCCCACGAATTAACAAATTTCCGAACAGGTACGCACAACTAATAACAATCCCGAACCCAATGGTCCAAACAATGCACCGCATCCGTACAGAAAGACAGTCTATACAGTACGTGCAGTCAGCATATCGCGATTACAAGCAGTAAAGTTCCACACAGGTCGTACATTATGCACAATCGCAAGCAGAGCTGCAGGCAGACAACACACCGTTAACCCTGTCGCACCGTGCAGCAAAAAAAAATCATTAAATAACCACGTCGCACACAGCAACCCACGGGATGGTAACAGCGCGGGACACTCGATGCAACCGAATTAATAATCAACCTCGCCATCAAGATAACATCCCCATGCCACAACGCATAAGCACTATTTGACACAGAGCAACACAAGCAGACAGCCCGTCCATCCTCACACACACACTCACCCCGACCCGCGCTCCGCATGCTCGAGACATACAAACAATCGCACCTCGGCACAAGCAAGATGGGTGAGGTATGTGTTAGGGCCGGGTGCATATCGTTACGACTCGCCCGGGGCTGCGGCGAGCAGAGGACGGCAGGGTGGTGACTTGAGATGCCTCAAAGAACTCGGAGAGTGAGCGCGGCGTCCTCTAGCGACTGCTCCGGTGTCTCGCACACGAGCCAGGACGGAGGTACTCCCGCCCCGGCAGCAGCAGCGTCGGCGCGCTCTCCTTGCTCCCCGCTCGAAGCGTCGGCGCGCTCTCCTTGCTCGAAGGCCCGCAGCATATGAAGCTGGACTGCCACGTGTAGCCAGCCGTCCTCGGCGCCTGTCGACGCAGAGGGCCCGGCCGCCCCGACGACATCTTGTACTCCTGTCGTGTCGCTCGCCGCCACTTCACCCACGCCTTCCATGGTCGGGAGACCCCCACCGCCGGAGGAAGGTCCTCTTCATCTTCTGAAGATGGTGCAGGTATATTCTTTTTCTTGAGATGTTTCGACATCTCGTTCTACTTCTGACTCCAGTGTAATAAAAGACTCCGTCAGGCACTGCTGGTCTCCGCTTGTCTTTTATTCAGGTTCTTCTCCACACCCCACTGGTCTCCTCCACGGACCAGCGTCGTCTCGCGCGTGCCCCGCGCACGCGCTTCCTCCTCAGCTCCTCCACTCGTCCTCACACCCCGCTGGTCCTGACAAGGGACCAGCGTCTCCTCTCGCGTGCCACGCACGCTCCTCTCGCGTGCCACGCACGGTCCTCTCGCGTGCCCCGCACGCTCCTCTCGCGTGTCCCGCACGCTCCTCTCGCGTGCCACGCACGCTCCTCTCGCGTGCCCCGCACGCTCCTCTTGTCAGCTCCTTCTCCCGCTCCGCACACCGCTGGCCGATGGTGTGCCGAAGCCCCATCAGCCACGTGGCTGATGGCGCGGCAGCCACCCAACGTGGTCCCGCTTCTTCACTCCATCAACTGGCCTCGATCTCTTCTGGGCTCTCCTCTATATCATCTCTCCCACGTGACCCTGACTCCTCCCTTCCAGATCGTCAGATCCGGCCTTCCCATACTGCCCTGCTGGCTCCACCTCCATTCACCTGAACGGCGGCCCCTCTCACACGCCTCCCATACGGGGCTTCGCCCCCAATATCCCGGGTCGTGTGATTGGGCCAGAGTCCAGCAGCAACCCCATTTACGCTCGCATTACACCGGTATATGATGGTTGTGTACTCCTGGCCAGGACCCGCCGGGGGGAGGAGGCTGTGGCCAGTGTCTACGATCCCACAGAATCCCCCGCCCCTCGGTGGGGAGCGGTAGAAACCGGTACGGACTGGTCTCTGAGGGGAGGGGGCTGGGGGAAACTACGATCCCCCAGAACCCTGCCCCTCAGGGAGAAAGTATATAAAGCGGGTCCCTGAGAGCGCGAGGCAGTTCGCCTCAAGCCGAAGCCAGAAGACGCCTGGAGAAGAAGACCCTGGATCCCAAGCCACCGACGTCCTTCTAAGGGCCGGGGCTCAGTGCGGTGCCAGTGGTCGAGAGGTTAGGACCCTGAAGTTCCCTCGGCCTGATGTCCTTCGAAGGGCCAGGTCCGGACGAGCCAGTGGTCAGGGACCCACCGGGCTAGCGGTGGGTCAGCCTCCCCTAGGTCTAGCCAGCCGGAGGGCTAGAGGAGTCAGAGTGCTAGCTACGATAGCCCGGAGGCTGTACCTCCCCAGGTTGTGGGTGGAAGGGGCCATTACCCCTTTGTGTTAAGGCTTAAGTGTAATCTGTTTATAGTATAATAAACCGTGTTGCCTCTACGACGACTCCGTCTCCCTACAAGAACATTACACATGTAGCATGTTTCAGGTGAGGTGGCTCAGCAGTAGAAAGCGAGCAGTTTGCAATCGGCAGGTTGCCAGTTCACATTCTGGTGGCAGTTGGTTTGGCCCATCTGAGTACCGCTTGGTGGGGAAGTCAACAGTGGCTGTCCTATATTTGGGTTTTTCGGTAAGACCCAAGAATAGTGGCTGTCCTGTGGCAGCTGTGAACAAGAGATGAGCATTGCCTCAATGCCCACTTGAGCAGATAACCACTTTAAACTATTTGCATGTTTTCGTGCGGAATGTGTGCGTGTGTGAGCTTCATGTGTGTTTCTTGTGTGTTTACAAATGATGCACATCGTGCACTATCATCGGAATACAGTTTGGGAAAAATTGGGACAGGGTTGGGAGAATTTAGTTTTTACATTATTCAGATTTTAAGAAACTATGTCAGAGGTACTCCACAACTGGTGCCCACAAGCTGGTCACACTGCAGTATGCACAACCTCCTTTTGCTTTAAAATACAAGGGGGAAGTGTACAAAACTTCATGAAATACGGTAAAAGATGAAGTGATGTATCATTGCATGCTGAATGCTGTATTTTTCAATAGGCTTTTACAAATCTCAACTCTGACCATAAGGAATGAGGCACCACATATTTTTGGAGAATATAAAAGCAACAACAAAGTTTACTGGATCACATGGACGGTTGCGATTGCTTTCATCACACAATGAAAAAAACAAGGATATTTTAAAATCGTTATAAATGTATTGTATTGGCACAAGGCAGGAGAAGATTTACTGCCTTACTAGAAAACATTTATCAACCAATGTTATATCTTAAACGTTTCACTTAATGTGATTTTTCAATTACGCAAATTCCTTAAAATCTGCCGCGCTCCTCCAGGTCTGCTCACGCCTCCCCTGTGGGATGCCGATGGGTAGAGTCTTCCAAGCCCAGTTCCATTCCAAACATGTTCTCTGTGAGCACGCACAGATCGTATGCAGGTGCATGACATAGATAAAGTATGTATATATAAAGTTCAACATTCAGTATGTAGCACTAAAGAATGCGAATATCTGTAAGTTAAAAGTGTGGTTGAGGGGTGGGAAGCCCGTATATGCAATTGTGTGGTGAGGAATAAGTATGTTACATGGTTGAAGTAAAAATGTATAAGCTTATTAAAAATGGAAAGTGTCACGCTAATTGTATACCTGTGCTGTGATCGCTTGTTGGAGAGAGGGATAGGATTAGCCATCCAAAGACAACCATTACGCTAACGATCATGTTCAAAATGATCCACGGAGACTCATCCTGAAAGCTCCTGTGGAAAAAATCATCAACAATCACAACAATCACACACTTTGTTTCCTCCATGTTCTCTCGTTTCCTAAAAAACCCACTCATTACTGGAACTTGCCAAACATCTAAATGCAGGACCCTCTTAAAACAAAGTGTCATGACACCCAGTGAGCCTTTCCTCGACAATCAAAAAGCACTCTTAGTACACTAAGGCCTCCTTCCCATACCTGTCGCTTACAAAATAAGATTTATTTTTACACGACCCATCAGCCACACTGCCTTCTGGGAGTGCATGTTATAAGCAACATTGGTACAATCCAAGAAAACTCTGGAGCGGTCATGACTTTCCTTGCCTCTAAACATCTGGCAGTTCACCAGCATTGGTTCAAGTAAGCCTGACTCTCCTGATGAAACAATGGATGTCGAAACTGGTCCACCATGAAGTTGTGAAATTAGCTCATGTGCAGGAGTGATGGATTGTGGAACTGTGAGACAATGGGATAACGATGAAGGCCGCAGGCAAGCAGAGGATTATTAATTACCCGTGTTAATTACATTTACCTCGTCCCGTAACACAAATATCACGTTAAACATGCACAAACTCCAATATCCACAGATATTTAAATAACAATGTCAGCTGTTCAGAATTATGGGCAGTGACATCAACATGGATAAAGGACCCTCAGCAAGTGAAGCTACATGTGGATGCTGGTGTGGGCAGTGGGTTTGTTTTTACCAATCGGATTGAGACGCAAGCTTGTGACTGGACTTAGTCATGCTCAAAGACAACACCAGCGCACTGAAATACACTGTGAACACGTATATCGTTTACTGTGATGCACATAACAAAACACCCATACAATTTTCACTGGCATGAAATATGGTAGCCTAAATTGTAGGAGATTAAATAGAGAGCATTGCCATTTATACATATTAGAAGTTTGTTTTGAAGACAGTAGCTTTAGTGGCTTCATCAAACTTGGCAATGTGCCGATTCACAGTCTCTATGAGGGTCATGCCAAAAGTGCTGTCCCAACCTTCCTGTGTAACAAACTTGATTGCACATTATAATCATCATCATCATCGCCGCAAAAAAACACTAAAAGACGTACCAACAGAAGCCCATGCCGCTGAGTCCAGCGTTATCAAGCCTCGAAGAAAAACTTGGGGTCTTGCGAGGTCAACTCTGTCAAAGATAAAACAATAAGCGTGTTACAGCACAACCTGCATTCGCGTATCATCAACAGTGCTGGATATGCTGGAACATAAGGTAGATAATGGAATGAAAGAGGGTGAGTGAGTGCTAGAGAATATGAGGGCCAGTAGCTTTAGTGGCTTCATCAAACTTGGCATGGTTAAGAAACTTGTCTTGGTTAAGAACAAAAGGGGTTAGGGGCAGTGTGGGCACAATTGCAAGTGTAGAGTCTGAGGAAGGAGAGTCATGTCTGATCAGGAGGAACCCAGAAATTTCACAAAGTCCCTGAATTGAGCAAGATTATAGTAAGAGTTTGGGATAAGAGATGAGAGGGAATCCCAAGTGTTTCGACATTAAAATACGTGAGCAAGAAAATTATTTTGCCTGCTTGTTCGTCCACAGCGTGACTCAATACAGACCTATCAAATGCAGAGATGGTGCTTAGAACGAGTAGGAGATACGCGAGCTCCTGGGCAGGAATGGCCAGTGGCTCATACTGCCCTGGCAGTGAGTTTTTCTGCCACAGGACATAGACCAGCACCGTGTTCCACAGAGCAAACCCCGCCAGCACTCCGTGGGCAAACAATGACACCACCCTTGACAAAAACAGTCAAACAGACATTGAAACATTAAAAACAGTATTCCATTATTTTGTTTCGAATTTCTACGAACAATAACTAAACACGATGGCTTAATTTATTAGAGGCATTTCATAAAAAGGCATGGTAATCTTTAGGCTGTCCACAATGATGCAAGCCATATTTTTTTAAATTGTATTTGACCAGGCAAGGCCCACTGAGCGATATAACTCATTTTCAGAAGCTCAACGAAGCAGCTTATTACGTGAACATTTATAGAAGCCAGTTACTCTAAGCGAATGTTTCTAAATGTGGAGGGAAAAACCGGAGTACCCAGATAAAAATCCACACGACCACGGGGAGAAAATGCAAACTCCAAATATATACAGGTGTCAGGGTCGGGATTGAACCCACGACCTCCTATATATCAGACGAGATAGTTAACATCTCGCCACCGTGGTGTAATTGAAAAAGCCTAGATAGCAGTTTGAACTGCGACTGAAATGTTGCTGACATGTTGCGTACAGACTCAGGCCGGTTTTCTTTGTTGTGGTTTCGCTCTGGATCAAGTGAGCCCAAATCCTGCACATGGTCTCAGCCATGCTCAGGAATTCCCATGAGCCGAGCCTGAACCGAACCATGACTGAGCTGCTCATACATCTTTGGAAGCGACTGAACGGCTCAAGTCTGAGCTGAGCCACCTCAGAGGCCGAGCCAGAACACAGCTCCAACGTTGTATTTAAGCCAAAACGCTTGAGTGACATTCTGCAGTGTTCAACAGACATTCAAAACACATCCAACCCAAGATGCTGCAAACACCTGAGCCTCACTCTCAAATCTGGAATGATTTGGAACCCCTCTAAAAGTGTACACAAACTCCCATAGGCCTAGGTCTGAAAGTTCTAATTGAAGTGAGTTGTTGGCTCGCTTGTTCGCGACTGGCTGTGCGATGGACGTTGCAGCTCCGTCACACACCTGAATCCCTTCTGCACCCGCAGAGCGACGTCCCGGGGGGAAGGTAGAGGCCTCGAAGTGAGGAATTCATTCGTGGGACTCAATGCAGCCTGCCGGACTCCCAGCTGCTGTCGTTCCGCAGCCTGAAACCCGCCTGTACTCAGAGCCACAATAAACGTCATGCATCCCTTTACTCCGCTCATCAAAGAAGTAATTAAAACTATAATACATGTGAAATTATTGAAATCAAAGTGATTTCCTGCTCAAATTAGCATAAATGTGGGGCTCATCTCCAGCTTTAAGGTGTAGGTGAGTCTATCCATAGGACAACCACTGTTGATGCGCCCGCATAGGTGTGTGTAACAAATAAAAATATACCCTGTATAGCCTTAGGGACAAATGTTGTTAGAGAGCACCTATGAAGGCCAGCATGGTACACGAGTGGGTCGGTGGCTAAGCACGTCGCCCGGCCACCTTTGTCTCCCAAGTGCCAATGTTTATACACCCCACCAGGTACTCATTTGAGGCTGAGTCGACCTAGAGGAGACCCAGGACCAGTTCAGATAATTGTCACTGGTGGTGGCCATGAGTGGGAATTCAACTCGGGTCGCCGGGTTTGTAGTGAAGTGCGCTAACCACTGTACTACTGCTCGCGGTTACACACCCCCACACCGACGTGTGTAGTGTAGTAGCGCCAGCCGTCAATGCTAGACGGCTAGTGTTGTGTAAAGGCTAGTGAGTGACGAGTGTGTATAGTCGAGATCATGTGTGTTAATAAAAGGTGCCTCCACAATTATCATCTCCGAAGTCACTGCACTACAACTGGTGTTAGAAGTGTTAAAACGTCATGTCGGAGTCGACAAAAAAAAGGAACCCACCCGTAGTGTCGTCGGAAGATGACGAGGAGATCGTTCCCCCAACAGCCCCGGGACCCCGGTTCAAAGTCCCACAGGTGCGGGAGCAATGACGGCGGAGATTTGGGAGAGGGGCCACATGCCGAGGATGCGTAGCAGAAGGTGGCCAGCCGCCTCGACCTGCTCCTCCTGACCATCGTTCAGCTGGTCGCACAGCTCTCCGTGGCCATGCCTGCCGAAGGAGAGCCGGCGGGGGAGCCGCGGGGTCCACTGGAGCAGCCGCCTGTGGCAGCGGTTCCTATCACAGGGATCGGGCGGTCGTCGGCCGCCATTTCATCTGTTGAGGCTGTGGCGCGGCCGACGGCCACCATTTTGTGTGCGCTGCGGGACAACGAAAAAGGTGTGCCGCCTCCGACAGTGTACGAAGGAGCCGCGTGCTGACCCCGGCGACTGCCTCCCGTCCGTGAATTTGTAGCAGCGGGGGGTGAATAGACCACGTTTCGATGCCGCTTCGAGGCAGCCTATTTGTCCGTCGGTTGAACAAAAGAGGAGGCTCTGCGGGCCCAACCAATGGCCCTCGACGACGATGCATTGGCGGCATTCTGGGCCATCTGGGCATATGCCCAGATGGCTGCTGTCTTGGACCCACCGTCCATCGCCGGCAAGAAGTTCTTGCAGTGGAGGCGAGGGGAGGCCGAGACGCCTCTCACTTTCCGCAGCGCACTGCTGGCGTTGGGGCAAACGGCGAATACTCATATGGACCAGGTGGCACTGAGACTCCTTGGCGGTGGAGAGACTGATGGCGTTGGTGCAGGAGTTGGGTGTCGTGCTGACCATCGTGGAGAAAGAGGCACTGACGTCGTTGAGGGTGGCTCGGTGCATTCAAGCGCACAAGAAATTGCTGCAGTGGCCCAGGGTAGCGGCTTTGTCGGGGGACACCGACGGGGCGGAGGGGCCCACGGTGCGGGAGATGGAACTGGCCTTGGCGATGTGTGACGGGGGCCCGCATGGGAAGGACGCGAGGGGGCAGCCTCTGGGTTGGAGTCAGGGAGTGGAGGAGTCCCCTCCGTCGTGGAGACCGACCGGGACTTGCTTCAGATGCGGCCGGGCTGGCCACATCGCACGAGAATGCCAGAGTGCCATCAGGATGTCGGCGACACCTCCGACGCCCTCCATCCCGCCGACGACCGCTCCTCAAGCCCCACAGGCAAATCGTGACACCTTCTTGGTTCTTTCGGTAAAATCACGTAGAAGGGAAATAATAAAATAATAAAAATAAAACATAATAAAATACAATTCTCACAACGTTTCGGCTATAACGCAAGCAGCCGTCCTCAGGTGAAGAACAGGTCTGTCAGAAAGACAGCGTCTGAATGAACACCACCAAGCTTGACAGCATATATTTAAGCTGGGTTAGAGGAGGAAGGGTGCCTTGACAAAGGCATTTGCATATCAACAGATGAATTTAGCATATTTATGGAAAATGCAGATATGGGATTAGTCACTACTTGTGGAATGCGTAGGAGGTGGAGGGGGGTGGGGGGTTTCAAAGTCATATTATGCCCGTGCATTATGTAGGATTAGCAGCAACAAAGGGAGGAAGTAGGGTTAGCAGTAATAAAGGGAAGGAATTTTAATAGTAAAGAGCTGCAGCAGCCAAACCACCACGTAAAAAACAAAAATATAAACTACATCAATATCAACAATATACTAAATATACTCTCCAATAAGCTGAGCTACTAACAGTAAGTCATACATTACAATTCTATATCGCAAAAAATATAATATGCCTCTAGCAAAATGTTTTCCTTACATCACACGGATCTACCCCGTACTAAATACTGCCATAGACAAACCCAAGATTAAATTACATACTGCATTACTATACACCACCCTCTACCTTAGACTATACATTGTAATATTACACTATGTATTATTAATGTATTATTCTACCCACCCTACTTTTCCATAAATATGCTAAATTAATCTGTTATGCAAATTCCTTTGTAAAGGCGCCCTTCCTCCTCTAACCCAACTTAAATATACGCTGCCAAGCTTGGTGGTGTTCATTCAGACGCTGTCTTTCCGACAGACATGTTCTTCACCTGAGGACGGCTGCTTGCGTTGTAGCCGAAACGTCGTGAGAATTGTATTTTATTATGTTTTATTTTTATCATTTTATTATTTCTCTTCTACGTGACTTTACCGAAAGAACCAAGAAGATGAATCCCTGCAGTCACGAAAGCTTTAAATCGAAAGTCGTGACACATCTGATACCCGGCCCCAACCGCCACTTCATGCATCTACGTCGTCGCGTGCGTCTGGTTCTATCAACACTCGTCATCTTGTTGTGGCGCGCGAACGATGGACTCGGGCGGAGGATGGGTGGCTGAATTCCAGTACGCAGTGGAGGAAATTTGCGCACCGGGTGATAGCGGCTGCGGTGGGCCCATCTGTAGTGGCAGGTTTTGTTCAGGGAGTAGAGATACGGGTCCTGGTCGATACAGGGGCTTCTGCTACCATCATTTCTGATTTGTTTACCATTTTTTGCCGTCATGGACCCGTTGTCTTACCCCGGTTGCGAGGGCTTGTATCACTGCCAATGGCAGGAGCATGGGGATCATTTGGAAAATTGAGGCATGTGTTAGGATCGGAAAAATCGAGATGTCAGGTCCTGTGTTGGTTTCCAAGACATTGGCTGTACCTTGCCTCCTGGGCACCGACGTTTAGGGCAGGATACTTTGGAAAATTTGAATTGATCAGGGTTGTGTTGGAATGCCATCGGGACAACGATTGCCCCTTTTTGCACTCCCCGATTAGGCTGACTGCTGCTAACGCCACGATCCGTTCCTTGGCAATGGATTCGGTTGCGATTCCGCCAGGCGCACAAATGTTAGTTCCGCTGCGCTACTTAAAATGGCTGCAGTTAGAAAATTCTGAAGCGGGGCTCCTCTTAACCCCATCCAATACGGTGACTCAGGGCCTCATGCTGGTCGGCGCTCAGATGATCGTTAGGACGGACCAGGAGCCATTTTTGCAGGTGTTGAATATCGGGTTGGCAACGGCCATTTTCCAGGCTGGTAAGGTCTTGGCTCATGCGAAGGCTGCGTGTTGCAAGGATGTCGACATGGCTGCAGCAGAGGTCATAGGCAGAGTGGAACAGCGAGGCGAGTCAGACAGGACAAGGGTTGATGAGCTGTGCGCCGAGAATCCGGACTTGTCTCGAGAACATCGGGACAAGTTGCGTGCTCGGTTGCGGGAATTTGCTGATGTTTTCAGCCAGGGTAAATTTTATATTGGCCACACCTCATTGCTGCAACACCGCATTAATACGGGTGATGCAGCCCCCATTAGACAAAACTCATACAGGCTGAGCCCGAGATAGGCCTCGGCAAGGTAAAGTAATTTACCCTTTTTACTGGGTAAAAGGGTAAAGGTGTCGACCATGCCAAGGGGTAAGGTAAAGGGTTGGGTAAAGGTAGCTCGAAGTATTACCCGGTAAATACCCTGTTTACCGCTAGAATATCCGTGGCGCAGTCCGTGGCCTCCATTTTTAATTGCGATCATTGATGTCAGACCAGATGGAGATGGATCACATTCTTGAGGTAGAGGATGAGGTTGAGGATGCCAGCAACGGCATTTTCGGGGTCGCTGCGAACAGCAATTGAAAGAGGCAGCGGCATGCGTTCCCGTGGGAGCACACGCACGATTGGATGGAGGGTGATCTCCATGTGCAGCAAGGAAAGCGGAAGTGTGTGCACTGCTGCAAGTGGTTTTCCTCCCACATGAACGCGTCGGGGTGGAAAGCCCACCTCAAGAAGCACAACGTGCTTGCCCCAGGCAGTGAGATTGGGACGTCGGCGTCGGCGAGCCACCTCATGCAGCAAATGCTGAACCGGCCAGAAATCCCGGATCGCCTCCTAGTAAAGTTTGAAAACGCAGTGATTGATTTTGTTATCCAACGTGCAATCTCTTTGCGAGCTGCCGGCAGCGACAAGTTCAAGACCTTGGTCCACTCATTGACGCAGGGATACGAGGGCCCGTCGACCCACACCATCATTCGCAGGATTGTCGAGCATCACGCCATCATGCTGCCCATCGTCGGGGCATTCTTCTCCAACCTGGATGTCACCATCTCGCTCACCATCGATGGTTGGTCGAACCGCAACCTGAAGGGATTTTGGATGGTAACGGTGCACTGGATCGACACCAAATCTGGTGAGTCGAAATCCATGCTGCTGACGATCCTCGATGTGCAGTCCGGAAGGGGTGTCGGCAAGCGCATTGGCACCACTCCGAT